TGGTTACATTCACAAGCTTAGTGTAACAAGATCCAAAAAGGATGATTCGGATACGTTCTGCTAAGAAAGGTTTGAGCCAAGATAAGAGAGGATTCTGTATACCAAATAGAGAACGCTTTAGAAGGAGATTGTGTGAGACACTGTCGAAGGCCTCACTAAAATCGAAGTACGAAATTATGGCTGACTGACAAACATCTCTTCTCCGTGTAATTCGATCGAAAAATTTCAGGTGTGATGTACAGCATGAGCATTTAGTCATCAACCCGTGTTGAAATTGGCTAATCCGGTTAGCCGAAAGTAAAAGTGGTAATAGCTGTTTGCGGATGATTTTTTCCATGGCTCTTGATAGCACATATGTCAAGTTAATTAGCCTATATTTGACAATATCTCCACTTGATTCCATTTTGATTCTAGGGGTGATAAGCTGTATTTTCCACGGAAATGGATAGGCTCTATAGTCCATAGATATGTTGAACAGTTTCAAACAAAATAAAAACGATTATCTACTACCATATTTCACAAATGATGAAGGAATCTCGTCAGGCACACACTCATATGTGGTGGATATGAAATCGACTCTAGACAGATGTCTAGATGTTAACATTTGAAATGTACTGAGAGATGTTTCAATTCCAGCGTTGTAGCGTTTCGAGAAATGCTGGCTGAATTGTTCGCAAATAGTATCCGTCAACCATGAAAAATTTGGTTGTGCTAAGGGAATTTGATTTTACGTGGGATTTATATAGCCGAAAGGTTGATAACTCTGGGCTTAGTACCTAGAGATTTATTCTCCATAGTCATAGAATACTTACGTTTAGATGAATCATTCTGTCGATCAAGCTAAGTATACTCTGAGGCGCATACACGTCATGGTGCTTGTGGTAGCGGTGTTGCAGTTTTAGCTTTCTCTTGAAGGTTTTAAAAGTATTTTGGCCCCTATTGGCATTATAAGCCACATGGTTGATAGCTGGGGGAGTGCCATCAAGGTAATATATTAGGTTATGGCATATGTCGGAAAGCACATTGTCAGTATTATTTGTGGTGAAATAAGGTTTCCATGGTAGGCATCAAATAAGAGTTTCAGTACGCTTCCAGGTTTGTTGATCAAACTGCCAGCTGTGGTTTATTTTTGCAGCCTTGGAGTTTATTTGTATCGTGTTTAGGTAATAGATAATACTCGATAGGACTCTATAATCCCACATAATAACTTCATTACTGACGTGCACTGAGATATGGTCTGTGTTGACTGTAAATAATAAATCACGTATATAATTCTCCCTAGTCGGCTTTTGGGTTTGTTGAACACACCCACAAATTTCTAATGTTTCAAATAACTTGTCACACAAACCTGATACCGAAGTCGGACTCCATTTAATGTTCGGCAGATTCATTAACTTATGCAGTTGGTGCGAAGCAATGAAAATATGTTTGTTAGCAATTTGTCAAAGTATCCGCATGATGTGGTCTGAATATGCATCCTATCAGTAGATAATTTTGCGACCCACAATTTACAGTAACCCATGCGGAGTCATCTATAGCAACTAGATATTTATTCTCAAATTCACACGCCTGAATGTCCGGACGTACACAGATAATTGCATCACCTCCCATTCCATGACGTCTATCGGTTCGAAAGAAAACATAGTTATTCACGTGTAAAGAGCAATCGGACATGGATTGTTTGCACCACGTTTCCGTAGTAAGTACAAGGGTTGGATTTATAAGGATGTAAAGGGGTTTAACGTGAGTAATTTTATTGGACAGAGAGCGGGCAGTAAACTAAAGAATAAGAAACTGAGAGGTATCATGATGAAGCAGGCTTGAGTATAGATCACAAGTTGTAGTCCTATGAATAATCTTGGAATTGGTTATGGTAAGAATTATGTTGTGAGGAGGAGTAAATTCAACAAATTTGTCACCACTTGTAACATGTTTACCGTTGTCAGCATAAAAGTCGACGGAATTACAAGAGATCTCTCCTGATTGTTATTAATCATAACGTCTGATGGAAGCATAGAGTACATGTAGGGGGCCGGACCAAAAAGGCTATCAGATCTGTATGCGACGAAGTGGTCGTTTACAATTCGGTTTACTTTTTATACCTAGTGTATGTGAAACATGTCCCATACATTTTTTTCCAAGGTTTGCGGTTTGTTTTAGCTCCTTCATAACTTATGGATAATCGAGTGTTGTTAGACATACTTGCGATGGTTTGCAAGGTTCGAATATATCGGTGTTCAGTATGTGGTCAGTTATATAATTATTGCAACTGTTTCGCCCGTTAGACGTTGTACAGTTACTGACACTGGGTGTTGCACTGACGGGGTCTTGAACGGTATTGTCTCATTCGTTATCAGTACGACTACTTGGGGTTAGATCTAAATAAGCATTTTTAGGAGAATGAACACCGCCGACATAGAATTAATAACTTCTGGGTTCTGAGCTTTAAGAGGTTCAGAAGTGTTTATCAGTGGTGGCATATTTGTAACGTCAAAATTCCTCCTAAAATCGAACTTAATTTTACGAACTTAAGGGTTATGATGAGTTTATGAGTTTGACGCTAGTGGTCTGTGACTATATATTCCTGCTTTCCCATTGCGTGATGTCTTATCTCGAATAATTTTAATATCCTTGAAAATCTCTTTTTATCTCATCGTATTTGGGAAAGTCAGAAACTCGCCAGCGTCTGCAGATGAGTCGAATTTGAACAGGATCGACGAGTGCATATCAGGGTGAATTCTTTTTAGTCTTATGCACACACATAGTACATGTGTCATATTGATTGCTCCAAGCACATTTGACTTGATATTTTTAAGGGCATATGTATCTGAGATATTAAACACAATCGCACTGGTAGATCGTCAAGTTCTTGAAACACGTCCGAAGCAACACTATCTGGGAAATTATTTGTGTCACTAATCTGATCTGGAACCTCTGAAAGGTTGGGTATGATGAGATACTTAAGCTGATTGAGAATTTTCATGTCAACTTTCAGCTTTCTTATATCGTTCATATAGTCGCAGCGGTGAATATCACCACCGTTTACCAACAGAGTCTTCAACATGTCTGAAATGGAGACAACTGGTATAAGCTGCTTCCGGATGAACGGAGTAGCTCGTCTCGTTGAAACTGTCAGAAATCGTGTCAGTAGTGGTGTTAGATCGCTTTATTTTCTTAAGTTTGGCTATCGGGGTTTTCAATTCTTTTTAAGGCATGATAAGAAAGTGGTAAGCAGTATATGGGTTGGACAAAGTGTTGGAGATAGAAACAGGTGAAAAAAATCAATGCTGAGGGCTTAAGATAGTTTGGAAATCAAAGTCTGTGTTTGAAACAACAGTGAATGTATCGTGAAGATTGGTGAAGATGACAAATACAGCAGGGGAAAATTTCAGGAAGTTTAAAATTTAGTATATGTAAGGAGGTAAAATAGAATATATATGCACATTGGATAAATTTTAACGTGTAGATTACACTGAACGGTAGACTTACATAATAAAGTAATTTAGAACCGTCGATAATAATTATGAAACACTCAAAGTGGGTACGGTATGTGGTACATGTATAAACGAAGCCTGAATCATTTAAAATTGGGAGGTGCAGAGATAAGTAGTTTTAAAGATTATTACCATTTAGAGTTATTATGATGCTTGATGACCAAATATATGAAATAGCTTTTTAGGTAAAAATACTGACCAAAAACTCTGACAGACTCGTCGAAGTGAACAGGAAATTCCAGAAATTTATTGAGTTATAGCATCCAAATACGATTTAAAAGTTAATATATAAAAAAGTATGTTACGCTCAGAGAATAGTGCTTCATCATACATCATCATATATCTTTAAATGTCAGACAAAGGTCTGAATAGATCCTGTACATACGTAAAGTATGTAGGTTATAGTATCCAAACACGACATAAGGGATAATATACAAATATTGAAGGCAATTATTCGTCATACATAGTTATATATGGTTTTGAAGTGACAGAATATGGTTCTGCCGGATAGTCAGAAGGAATACGTATATGAATATGAATTAGTATGTGAATATGACCAAATACACCATGAATATGCTAAACTGAGATCTTATCATAGAGTATGAAATTTACAGTTCATATGTAGGTAATTCAAAATAGAGTAATCTTTTGTAATTCCAAGGGAAGATAATCTATCCAGGAAAAAACTGCAGGCCTCGACCTGAATGTAACGCCCATCCCGCAGCGCGCAGGTCCATACTGTACTTCCCTTAAATACTAGCTAATGGAAATTTTATTTATTATTTCAGTTTTATTATCGCCTTAGGGAGCTTGTCAACAATTTCTACAAAATAATTAAGTGCGAAATCTACGGCCTTATGATAGCGTGCTACTGCAGTATATCTATATGAACAGCTCTCAGTGATTATGTTGTAGGCGTTAGCACAACTTTACAAAACACCTTAGTAAAATCTGAGTTTGAAAGAGTTTGACAACACTGTCATCCGCAACACCTTTATTATCGCGAATCCTTAGTCTAGAGTGTTATATTCAATGGGCCGTCAACTATCAGGTGACAAAATTGCCAGTCGGAATATCGACTTCTATGGCTTTGCCCCGGTGCTTAGTTTGTCAGTCAGCACTCGTTCAGTCCAGGACACAAGTATCACTGTCATCTATATGAATGAACTTATTCCAGACATACGTGGTTTATATACAAGTAGACCAGACCGCATCAGTCCATGAGACGAGAAATAATGATCATACGACGTCAGTCCAAAACTGCTTATGAGTATAGGAGAATAACTAATAGATTGGGAATAAATTAAGAACTGTAAATCGTATAACAGTAGTTAATCGGTCAAATGAAGACTTATGATAAGGGGAACATAAATATATATGATCTAATTACTTAGTAATTATACGATAAGTATATGTATATTATCATAGTTTACAAATAATTCTTGGAAGCTACCACCCACTTATTCTTCGTTCATACATAAAAAATTCAAACAAAGTCATGGATGAAGGGGGTTAGAAGATATATTTGTAAGATGGTTAATACGTCAAAAGGTATGTGGTACAGGCTGGCTAGGTGAAAGGGCTGCATAGCATGACGTACATAGTTTGGTCTAATGTATTTTATTGACCGAGCACTTTCAGATAGAGCGTGTTAAATAAAACTGACGATCTCAAGATCAATATCAAAGACCCGCAGAATTATTTGTTTTGGGGATTCATCCACATACTGAGCAGAATCCACATGCTGCGGAAGCTTTGTTCTCAAGGTCGAGGTGTGTAACAAGTCAGTTAATAGTGTTTGCTGTCTGTGTCCACCTTCACTAATGTTGAAACATGTTTGCAATTTTTTGATAGGTTTGTTAATCTCATCATTTGGTGCCAGCATCTGGTTTTCAAAGACATCGATGTATTCTGTAGCTCTAATTACTTGTCCGAATTCCACAGTCGCGGAAACTATTGCAGATACTCTAGTTAGTAGAAAACTGGCAGCTTGTGTCAATATCATACCCTCAATTAAGTCTGTTTACGTTTGGGAAGGGAAGGTGGAAAAGTCAGACGAGCTTCTTCTAATGGCGAAAACTCAATCAAAGTTGGTACCTTCTCTAACGGAGGTTGTCAAAGAAATCCACCCTTATGAATGCCCGGAAATCATTAGCTTAAACATTGAGGCGGGTTACCCACCGTACCTTAAATGGATTATGGAATCCACATCTTAGTAGTAAAAATGAAATTGTACATTTAAATAATAAATACTTTTCATACTCTAGTCCTTCTGTAAAGTTTTACCTCTTAGTATAAAAGAATTTTTTAGATATGGGTTCTGCCGCCTCTCACCAAACTCGAGATGTGACTTTCCACCCCGACGATATTGTAGTAAGTTATTCTGTTACATCATAAGTCTGTAAGATTAGCGAAGATGTAATTAAGCGAATCAAAAATGCTGCTACCACCGAGGATAATACGAAAGGTTGGTACATCGTTTGTTAGCCTAGCTTTGAGATGACGTTCGTGCCCCAGAATCGTTCAAACCGCAGTATAGCCTAGGTTTAAAACATGAACTAGAAGAGGCAGAAAGAAGATACGAAAAGCTCCTGCAACTATTAGAAAAACGTGTACGTTTCTGTTTTTTATTAAGCAATGCAATTCATTGTGTTTTCCTTTTTATTTTGTCTTGAAGTAGACAATAGGGTATTCAAACCCTTTCTACAGGTCTTTTCACTTATACGAACATTTCAACATATATTGTACCACAAGGGACTAATTGATGTATTATTTCATATTGCTTATGTTTCTTACGTGCATCTGAGTAATCTGCCTTGTAAGTCGATTCTGTAGGGATATCTTATTACGAGTATTACTTGCCCTTAGTTCTTTAACGCAGACGATTAGATCCAAAGGTTTGGAAAAATAATCCGCTATATTCCTTAGGATATGATGTACGCTATTCCCCCTTCTTATGGTAACTGTGTAATGTCCCTATTCCTTTCATTCGCTAAGCGGTTCTCACCTAATCTGTTATGCAATTATTCGTGATAACGCTTTGTTTTTTCGCCACCATGTCTATTAGTTGTAATATTCATCTGAATGATAACAATTTAGTAATCTTTGAGTTTTGACAAAGCACCAAGGAAGGGAATTTCCACCGTGTACTCTAAATTTGTGGTTGAAAAACGACTACCACATCTACTATATTTTAACGGACAAGATGCTTTAGGTGGTTAACCGCTTTACTTACCTAGTTGGTTATATCGTCTGATGGTGACCAATGAGACTTTTAATACATACACTCAAGTTCACATTTACATACCTCTATCATTCATTAAGCCTGTGAGATTTCTGTCTCCAGTCTAGTAAACATTTCACCAACATGTTGTTTCCAGTAATAGAAGTAAAGTGTTACCGTCAAAACCGTAAGCAAGACTTTCAGCAGTTTAACTTATATCATTTTCGCTTCGTTCTTCTAGCCTATTAAGATTATAGAAACTTTACTTTCTCAAAACGGAGTCTTTTCTGTATTGCCCCATGGCTGTGAAAATGGAGTATACTGGTACAAAATATGGAAAGATTGCTAGTGTTTATAAGCATTATTATTATAAGCATAACTGAAATATGGTGGAGCCTGGAAGTTAGTAATTCTGCGGATAGACTTCGTGTTCTACGTGGAAATAATTAATCTATTATTGACTATAGCAATCTTCATCAACTTGGCTAGGGCATATCTTGCAAATGCCTGGCAAGAGCCTACGCTGATGCTCAGTTCCGGTTGGCGTGAGAGTAAGTTGGAGTAAGGTTAGGGTTGATCATTCGAAAACATTTTGCCAGTTCATGTAGAAATTAACTGTTAGGCTGAGCAATATCAAGGGATTTGGATTTCATGACTGAGTATTACTTAAAAGTCTCAATCTACAGTCGGAGACATTGAGTGGCATGACCTGAAATCTATTTTCGTGTTACAGTTAGAACTGTCTTGACGTTCGTATTGAAGATTCTGACTTTGATATTGGTTGAAAGTTGTTTTGAGTTCCATCTGTTCTTCAATTGTTGGAATGTTACCCTTGCTTCGACAATCCTCGCCTTTACGTCTGCATCTGATCCTCCTTGTTCACTGATGTTTCTCAGGTATGTGAAGGATTCTACATCTCCCAGAGTTTAGCCATCAGGTGTGATCGGGCTGGTGTGTCTGAGGATCTTGCTTTTTCGTTTGTGTATGTTGAGGCCTACTGATGCAGAGACTGCGGCTACACTGGCTGTCTTTATCTGCATTTGTCCATGTGTATGCGATAGGAGGGCTAGGTCATCTGCGAAGTCCAAATCGTCTAATTGATTCTGAACTGTCCATTGTATTCCGTATTTTCCCTCTGATGTCGAGGCCTCCATAATCCAATCGAACACCAGAAGAAAGAGGGAGAGTAGACAGCCTTGTATGACTCCGGTCCTCACTTCGGATTCGTCTGTCAGCTGTCCTCCATGCACGGTTTCGCGCTTCAGTCTGTTGTATAAATTCCGTATGATGTTGACAAATTTCTTGGATACTCCATAGTGTCGAAGAAGTTTCCATAATGTTCTCTTGTTCACACTGTCAAACGCCTTCTCGTCAATTAAGTCAATGTATAGTGACGAGTTCCATTTGCTTCATTGTTCAACGATGATCCGTTGTGTCACAATTTGGTCTGTGCATTACCGATCCTTACGGAATCCGGTCTCTTGATCTCGGAGTTGGGTGTCTACTGAGTTATTCATCCGGTTCAGCAACACTGTTGAAAACCTTTTCATTGTACTGATAATAGTGTGGTGCCGCTGTAGTTCTCGCATTTGCTCAGATCTTCTTTCTTTGGTATGTTGATGAGGTATCCTTTTTTACAATCCATCGGCACTCGTTCCTCCTCCAAAATTTTCTTGAATAGAAGGTGAACCATGTTTGCAGTTACTTTCATGTCTGGCTTGAGTGCTTCAGCTGGAATATTTTCTGGCTCTGTTGTTTTCTCGCTCTTTATTTGTCTGATGGAGATCCTGATTTCTTCGGTCGTTGGTGGAGTGACATCTATAGGAAGGTTTGTGTGTACCGCTTCGATGTCCAGTGAGTTCAATGTGGATGACATATTCGAGAGTCCTTCAAAGTGTTCTACCCACCTCTTTCCTTGAATCTCAGTGATTGTCTTGCCTTCCAGTCTCTCTGGTTTACTATATTTCCTTGCCAGTTTTTTCATCGTGTCATATAGTCGTCTCATATTTCCTTTTTTTCGGGCTGTTTCCGCTGTCGTTTCTAAGTTTTCCACATATTTCTGCTTGTCAGCTTTAATTCTCTTCTTCATTATCTTGTTTGCTTCAGCGTATTCAGCTTGTGCCTTGACTTTCTCTGTTCGTGTTCAGCTGTTGTTGATTGCTGTCTTGTTCTTCCTTTCTTGGGTCTTGTCCAGGTTTTCCATAGAGGTTCATTCCTTATGATGATGCTTCTTGAGGCCCAGCTCCTGCTGACACGTTGAGTTTAGTGCTTATTTGATCCCTTCCCAGTTGTCCTCCATAGTAGTATCTTCTTCCAGTATGTCTTAAAAGGCTTGGAACCTCTTTTCAAGAGTTATCTTGAATTGGTTGATTTTGTTAGTATCTCGAAGGAAGGCTGTATTGAACCTTTGTACTGCTGTTTTCCCAGTTATGCAGTGTTTCTTTAGCCTCAGTTTCATCTTGGTCACAACCAGGTGATGATCTGGTTCTCTCGTCTTTTTGAGTGATACAAATATGATTTATCTGGCCAATATCATGTATTTCGTCTTTTTTGGCGTTTTTTAACCTTCATAAAAAAACGCTAAGAAGGACTTGACATACATGATATTAGCCGCTACTCAGTGATTAGTTAATTGTGAACCAATATTCGTTTACACCAGGTGTTCGGTTGCCTATTACTAAATGAACGTTTTCAAAAAGATTCCGTTATTTTGACTTTTTTGGTCATGTTCTGTTTTGAAGTGTAGAGATCTTAGCTTATGCAGCCTCAAATTGTTCCATTCAGATGGCTAACCTATTTGTAACGTAAAAGCCTTACACTAAGTCACAAATATTATTGTTTTGAAATTGAATCACTGTGATATTATTTATTGCGAATATTTACGGTTTGTTTTAGAATGAACAACTGTTCAACGAGGCTGCAGAAGAATATACACGGACAGTTGAGCGTTTAGAAAACAAGTACATGTAAGTTGTGTAAATGTACTACAATGTGTAACACTTATTCATCAAAATAATTCTGTCGAAATCTGTGATTTATTACATTTATATGGATTGAGACTTTGCCAGACGTTTTGAATTTTTCCACTGATATTTCAAAACTGTCGAAACTTCCTTATCTAAAAAAATGGTTTTCCTTGTTATCATTATGAGATAACCGGAAGTGTTGAGTTAGGTTGTATCTGATTGCACAGATTTATTTTTGGGATAAAGACGTGTCGGTAAAGTTATGCTTCTAGATGTTGACAGTTCTTCATTGAAATCGTACAAGTATTTATCGTATGTCTGTGGGATAATTTTAATTTTTCACCAACTGCTGTGTCAGGCAAGGCTGCTTACTCTCCACCTTTCTCATTCTTCTGGCGGTTGACTGGATTATGAAGACCTCCACATCTCAGGAGAAGCACGGAATATAGACAGTTTGGATTTTGCAGATAACCTGGTTCTTTTATCTCATATTCAGCAACAAATCAAGTGAAGACAACTAGTGTGGCATCAGCAAGAGGCTACTGAGGAGAAAAAACCAAATACCAGTTGAAGAGGAAATTAGTAAAAGATGTTGGAAGTGGATAGGACATACACTGCGGAAATCATCAAACTTCATCACGAGGCAAGTGCTAACTTAGAATCCTGATGGGAAAATGTAAAGAGGAAGGCCGAAGAACATATCGCGTCGGGAATTTGAGGCAGACATCAAAAGAACAAATAGCAACTGGAAAAGATTGTCCAGGACAGATTTCAATGGAGAATGCTAGTGGGCAGCCTATGTCCTTCCACAAGGGATAATAGGCGTAAGTTAGTACTACACAAAACTCACTTAATCAACATCATGTCGTTATGACATGCAGTATTTTTGTATCATCATTTTTTTGAGGTCGTTCGTGAACACTGCTTGCTGCATGGTGTTATAAACGTTAGTTTAAATCTACTCCACATCTGGAAACTGCACTAGTATGATACAATTTATATGTTTACTTACGTCCCATAACTCTATAAAGAGGTGTGGAATTATCCACTTACCTAACAACTTCAAACCTAAGTATCAAAGTGCTAATATTCGTTTCTAATTCCTGAAATTCGATTAGCCGTGTTGTGTCATCATGTTTTATTTCATACAGTGATCTTTACCGTTCTAAATAAATACTTACATAGTTCACGAGTTGCATATTTACATTTATTGTCTACTTCGGTGGTTTACTTATGTACACTTTGATTGACATCCAAAGTAAAGTGGCAATATATTCTTATTTAAACTATTCAGATAAAACGAATTATTTTCATAATGGTAAAACAACATATAGCTTTCAATGCTTGGTTTTAGAATAATTTTTGTTCTTTATTGTAGGAGACCTACTCCTGGGGGGTGTTGTGCTGCAGCTGAACAAAGAGTCGAAGATTGTTATAAGCAGAATCCTGGAAGAATACTTTTGTGTTCCAAACTTGTTTCAGAGTATGATCGTTGTGTGCAAAATTTCCTTGTCGTAAGTAATACTTACCTGAACAACCTTATTAGTTCCAGGTTTTGTTGTTTTTTAAGCATTGATATAATCTCATTTACAAGGGTTAGATATAAATCTATGTTACGCCATTTATGTTTCTTGAAGTTTAACGAACTTGCGATATGTATGTGTGGCGGCCGTAGCCACTAATAACTTGAACACTGATCTTTAGTCATTCTGATAACGAATGTCAAACAAGATGAATTATGGATCTCAAGATATTTTGTTGGCTGCCGCCAAATAAGTCCGAAAGGTAACTTAGAATTTCATCATCAATGTTCCTCAGAACCTCAAATTACAGCGTTTAATGGATTCAGAAAAAATCTACATATCGGTTACGAGATCACATGTTAATTTAAATAGCATAATAGGAATGTGTAAAAATGTTATGTATTAGAATCACTACAATCTGCAATGATGCAATGAGAAGACGTAGTTTATCAGAATTATGTGATATATTTGCGCAATACATTTCGAACAATCTGATCACACATATACTTGTTAAGAACATTTATATATGAAAAATTAAAAGGTCAACTAGACAGGTTAAGGGTAAGTCATAACAAAGGAAAATATTAAAGTACACAAAAACAAATGTGATTACCACTCTGGACAGTAAATCAGTACTACCAGGGTAGGTTAAGTGTAAGTACAAATTGTTTTTGAACACATAAAGGGGGTTTCAATTTTCGTATAGCCAAGGCTTCAATAAACCTTAGTATACGTCCTTGAAGGCTTTTGTACAACACAACAAATGCTGATTTGATATCAACCTTATGACCCGTCTCAATCAAATGTTTCGCAATGGATGATGATGTCTGTCTATCCTGTGGTCTTATTTCACCATTGGAATTCATCTGATTTTGCAACCATTTTGGTATATGCTCACCCACCCTTAATTGCAAATCACGATTGCTCCTCCCTACGTACGTGTTTCCACACATACATGTAAATTTGTAGACACAATGGGATGTGACACAATCGTTTTCATGCTGTTTGGGCTTTTGGTGAAACATAGACCTTGTCTTTTCGATAATGACAAGTTGGGCTGCATAAAATGTCCGGTTGATAGCTAATTTAAGTCTCTGTTTCAACATGAGACTATTTGTGTCACCTCTGAATGGTAGCGTAATATAAACTCGCTTTTTGGGTGCCAGAAGCGTCATAGGTCTAGTCATATTGCAACCCTTCCAGCGGTTTATGAACTTCAAAGGGTAACCATTATTGATTAACGCATCGGTCAAGAGCTTCATCTCTACTTCAATAGTATCACTAGTACAAATACGATTGATTCTATTGAATAAGCTCTTTATTAAACCACGTTTATAATGAATAGGGCAGTGACTATGAAAATTAAGATACTGTCCTGTCCATGTTGGTTTTCTATATACAGCACGTTTGATGGAACCATCATCTCTCCTAGTAATCAGGATGTCAAGAAAAGGAAGTTGGTTGTTCTTCTCTTCTTCACATGTAAGGGAAATGTGGTTCTGACTATTATTGAATTTGTCTAACAAGTGGCTTATGTCTTCAATTTTATCGCCTATGATTATTATGTCGTCTACATATCGTTTATACAGACCCATCTTTCGAATTGAGTCTCCAACTAAATTTTCCACATATCCCATGAACACATCAGCTAGCAATGGTCCTAGAGGGCTTCCCATAGCTACACCATCTATTTGTCTGAAATGTTCACCTTCAAATGTGAATTTTACATTATCTGTACATAATAATAATAAATCTCTAAGAGTTTTAACAGGAAAAGGTAGTGGAAGGTTTTCCGAAGAAATAAAGTCACACAAAATATCAATGGTTTTCCTAAGAGGTACATTTGTAAATAAAGTGTTTACATCAAAGGAGCACATTGTCTTTGTCTTTATATTTATATTTGATTGAGACGGGTCATAAGGTTGATATCAAATCAGCATTTGTTGTGTTGTACAAAAGCCTTCAAGGACGTATACTAAGGTTTATTGAAGCCTTGGCTATACGAAAATTGAAACCCCCTTTATGTGTTCAAAAACAATTTGTACTTACACTTAACCTACCCTGGTAGTACTGATTTACTGTCCAGAGTGGTAATCACATTTGTTTTTGTGTACTTTAATATTTTCCTTTGTTATGACTTACCCTTAACCTGTCTAGTTGACCTTTTAATTTTTCATATATAAATGTTCTTAACAAGTATATGTGTGATCAGATTGTTCGAAATGTATTGCGCAAATATATCACATAATTCTGATAAACTACGTCTTCTCATTGCATCATCGAAATTTATCAAAGGGACTAATTGTTTTAAATAATGCAGAACGACGAAACAAGTAGAAACGTAAAAAAGGAGGTAAAGGACGAATAAGCAAAAGTAACAAGATATGAAATTCGGAGGAAAATAATGTCCATACATATCGTCTCGATAAATAGTTAGCTGTATTCCCCAGATCTTCTAAATACTGACTTCTTTCGTTGTGATAACCCTACCTAGTGTTTTCACTTTTCTATACGATTGGTATCACAATTTCCTCTGTCAACTAGTATAAGCTTTCAGCTGAGTTGTACCACAGTTGGTCCAGGTTTTCCACTTTATAAACTTTTTGTCTGGCAGCCTCATCCACTAGCTACGAGTAGTGGTTTCAAGACACCTATCTTCAAGCTTTCTTTTTCATAATCGCCAGCTTCAACGCCTACGTTTTGTAGTTGTGAAATAAGATGAAGTGGTTTGGACACATACTTTTACGACAAGAAACACTGCCGTAACCTACTGTTTGATATGCAGTAAGTAGCAAGTGCTAGTTTTTATTCTCAATACAAACACAACTGAAATACAGGTAAGCAAAATACATTTTAGAGTGATGAATAGGACGAGAGATTTAGGTTTTAATATAATAATATAATATAGTTAACTCATACACCACGTTCTTGGGCATGAGCCACACTAAGTATGAGGGCTGATGATACTACCCGGTTGTCTAAACCCAAATCGATGGAGGGGATTCGAACTTGGAACTTATTGGCTATATGTCGAATATTTTAACCATCAAGCCCTTCCCCACCAATAGATAAGTAACGTCATGATACGAATTACCTACCTTTTTGTCACTCATTTTTAGGTGTAAATTGTAATAACACAAAGTGTAATTATCTTTCTCTACTTTTTTTAGACTATGTCTAGGAAAGTGTCAAATGCTGCCTGAAACTAATACAATACCACTTTATATTTTATGGATTCCTATTCTAAAAAAATTCTATAATTGTCTTACACATTGTAGCATGCCATTTTCAATTAAATGATTAGTAGTTGTAATGAGTATCCTTGTACAAATCAAATCATACTTTAAATGTAGTGTTATTTGACATTTGTTTCAATTTAATGTTGAATATCTAAACATAAGCCAAAACGACCTCAATTTTCAGCCAAACAAGAGAACGAAACACTGTGGTTTATACTTATGTTAACAGTGATCATATTAGATTAAGATGTAGTTCTATTCAGTTGTGATCATTTATTAAATATAACATCTTGAATACATATGTTAGTGATTGACAGTCCATACAATACTGATAAGATATAGCACCTAATTTATGAATCTGTCTTTTAATTTGACCAATCCTTACACTCGCTAGGTCGTTCTCAAAGTGGTTTGATCGTTACTTGAGTGAATATTTTGTACAAATCTTTACCAATTTGTACATAATAACATTCCAATATTTTATTGACCTAATAGTTTTGAAATGAAAAGATACACATATTTATCAGTCTTTGTCATAACATTGGTTGAGGATTTCGTTTATATTTATAAGTTATGCGAATAACACTGATACAAAAATTATGCTATCAGTTTGCCGTAATTCACTTTTTGTCTGTCGAACAATAAAAGGTTTGTAGATATTAATAAACGTTCCTCATAACATGGTCTTTCACTCTGACTTTAGAGATTTATATATTAACACTACTCAGTGAGCAGATAAAACTGTATGTAAATTCTTATGTTTCTATATCACAGCTTCGTACTAATGAATGGTTTCTTAGCCTTTATATCAGTCAGATTATGGGAAACGAGAAAGGGAATTAAGTGATATTCATAATAGTGGTGAAAATATGATAAAGCGAAAGATACGGAAATCGAGTGAAATAGACTTTCGAATACACCAAACATTCAAATGTTCATGATCATATCAGAACCAATAGTAACTTGATTATTGAGTCGTATAAATCGAATTGAACAAATAATTTATTACTTGAAAATAGTTTGTGTGTGATATTTTATTATCCGTTAATAATCAGTTTACTTATAAAATTGTTTCCTACCTTTAAAAAAAGGTTAGAGCTAATAAATCCAAGAGAAAGGTAATAGTAAAAACCAAAGCAAGTAAACGACTGTGAGGTGAAATATTTGTCAGTAATAATCTTTCTAGCTAAATCAATTAAACACTTCAATAATCAATTTCTACCCGTTCAGACACAAATTAAGTCTTCACATTTCGGAAAGAAACATTAAGTAGATTCATGTTTGAATGATGTACTATTTATATTTTCTCAAATCAAACATGATTTAAATTATATGTTCAGTGATGAACGAAAATTGTCTTCAGATTGGTTCTATTTTCATTTAGACTCGACTTACAGAAAAGGCTATACATATATATGGGTTGTGGTGGCAAAAAATTAAGCCTGATAGTTGGGTCTTATAAGCACATAAGCTGGTAATTAACCTGTAAAATCAGTATCCTACCTTTGATTATACTTCAGAAGACATTTATTCATGTTTACTTTTGTAGTGATATCTTGCATAGTGGTATATTGTCTTACTATTTGTGCAGTCTTTTGAAAGAGATAATAATTTGGTCTCTTCAACAGTTAACAACTGACTGCGCTGAAACACTGTACAGTCTACTGGTATATGTGCCATGCATTGCGGACTGACTACACAACTATTGTAGTGCTAGACATATGTTTCGTCCCAGTAGGAAGCGTTCTAGCATGACGTAACCATGGTTTCGTCAAAGACCAAATCCATAGTCTTTGGGCTTTGCGACAAACTTTACTTTCAAATCACTAAGCTGACATCCGAATACTTCAATTTCCAAACATTAGCCAACAGGATATTGAGCGACAGCCAACTAGTATGATCGGTGATATTTGTTTTATCCTCAAACATAGTTGAATTCCATTTATCATAAGTTTTCCCTAGAACTTCAGAAATCCTTCTAGAAGTTAATTACCGGTTAGCAAAATTATTGTTGAAATGCGAGGTTGTGAAGACTGTCCAAGTTGAACATAGATAACATTGTACGTTGATTTTTACAAGTTTTTTTCTCAACTAAAAGTATACTCACCACCTAGAATATTAGTGAAAAGTTCTAAAACAAACCAAATTATTCCGTAACCACCCATCGTTAAAGGAATAAAAAAGAAAATAGAACACATTGATAAAGAAAATATTCTTCACTTTCAACATTTATTGGCCATATTGTATTTGCGTTACTTTCCATTAATTAAAGAGGAAATAAAGCAACAAGAAACAGCCATGTACAGTTAATCCATCTAAATATAGGGATATTAATGTAAATTTCAATCGTTATATGTTCATTCCAAATAAAAATAGAATAAAGCCAAGTCATTTGTCTAAATGAGAAAAAGAAATTGAAAAACTACTAAGAAAAACTCCGAGTGATTTTCTATGTAAATGAATTGTAATAGACTCTTTGTCGAAAAAAAGAAAGAGGAAGTATTTGAATTCTATTTCTCACTGTGATGTTTTGTTTCTCTGTAATGTTCACAAAGATCAAATCAGAATGGTGCATATTTTAATAAATAGTCAATAATTTGTCGTGATTTATGCTCATTGCTATCAGTAATATATATATATATCTGCAGAGGTATATATATGTTAATATGCTTATGTACAAAAGAATAAGGGAGTAGATAAGTGTTCAATTAATCAACAATTGACAGTGACATCATTATTATCATTAAGATTTTGTAAAAATATCACAGCGGTACTAATTATATGAGTAGTGTACAACAACAAATAACATATTAAAATAGTATAGATAAAGATAAATATATTACTTAACATTTGTGATAGTTTCCATCTTCAGTTGCCTTTTTGGCTATTTTCTCATCAGCAAGCCTAAATTTGTGTGGGAGTAAAACGTTTTTGACGATAATCAAAATTAATACTAACAAATAATATTCAGAGATCTTATTGTGTATTCCTTTTGTCTTTGTTGTTCTTCTATGTGAAATACTAATCAACGTAGTTCTACTGGATGTGATTCCATGAAAGCTATTGGTGCAAAATTAGTCGGTACATTCATTGATTTTGTTCTGTATAAATTATTACGTGGAAGCTGATAATCAGACATAGTATGAGCACGATGTAATGTTAAATTTGGCACAGTAGTTGATTTACTTCTTCTTTGTGGGGAAGTCTGATTTGATATTCATAATAATAAACGGATAAATAACATAAAAATCATCCTCTAAGTCAGTGTTTTCATTTGGATGTAAAATAATCTTGATTTTCGTTACAAAATGATACTAACTGAAGGTAAATTGGAAACTAGAAAACACATTACGTTTAATCTTAGTTTGGGATCCATAATCGTCGTATATCCATACTCCGAGGAAACGGTCTCCACAAACCTAACTTCATGATCATTGATCACTTTGTATAATCATTATTTTTATACTTAGTTTATCAGTTGTTATCTGACAATATTCAATCCTACGACATGTTGACATTTAATCAGTCCAGAGACAGTGAGTTGTTACAACAGTATAAGTATATCTTGCATCAATCACCTTATCAGAATTAATATTAGCAAGTCTAGATCATTAGTAGTTTTAACAGAAAGCAAAGTTTGTTCAAAATATTGAGTCGATTATTAGATCTACACATACGGATTAATAACAAATGTTATCAGTTTCATTTTGTCAGATAAATTACTAGTTTATTTTAACTTATATGATTTGCTTGGTATCTGGTAAATACTATAAGAAAAATTTAATGTGTGAAGTTTACTCCTCGATTATGAATAATATAACTGGAAAATTCTATTAAGTAACTGTGCTGACACTACTAATAGCTAATCAACACTAAATATAGTGTCAAGTAAATTAGTTTAAATACCATTTTTCAAACATTACTGTCTGGATTTTCTTTTATCAAATATTGATAAGTGATTGTTAGCTAGCGCATCCAGGTCGGTTACTCTACGTAGTGTAGTCTGACAACAAATTAATTACACCTTACCTATCTCCATAGCTTGCGGTGCTCAATCATAAAGAATTGAGTCCAATGAATATAACTCAGAATGATGACGAAATAGGAAATTTTCAGTATTAGGCGATTGAAGGTAGCTCACAGTAAACTCTGAACATAATTTTCGTGTATTCGACAGCATTATGCACCCACAACCTTGCGGGAACTGATGCTTCAAGTGAAAGTCGAACTCAAGTCTTCGAGCTTCACATTCTGAGTGGCTACCACTGAACTATTGTGATGATAACTGACTGAATATCCGTTTACGGACATAAGACTTAGCACAATGATATATCATTTTACAACAATAAAGTATTATGAATCAATAATAAAAAAATCTAGCTTTTTTTACTGACAGTAATTTCTCCGTGTATTTAATCATAACGCCTAAATAACATTGCACTGTCTAAATCAATAACTGTCAGGCTTAAATGTTTTAGTGGAATATGCAACTTCATTTAGGTAAGAGGCATTTCATAAGAAAAGATCCAAACTTCGTAAATATGTCTAGCAATTACGATGATTAATCAAGTACAGTCACTAAAATGTTAGTCGACAGTCCACGTAAATTTCGAATCCGCCAAATATTTAAAATATTCAAGCTTTTATATGAAAATCATGTTAAAAATTATCGGTAGACTAATATATTGATAGTATAAAAATAACAAAACTCAATTAAACATGCATATAAATAATTAACTGTCTTCCTTTTTTCAACTTACTGTCCCATATTTTAATCGAACACGTAGTCTATGTTCACCACTATTGCCATTATTACTGTCAGTGTTTTGAACATCTAAAGACAACTCTTTCGCCGATAATAATTCTGAAATTGAATTTTTTATTGGTACATTTAAAGGATTCGTTTTTGTTTCTGCGATAGAATAATACGATCCAGATCGAGTGTGAATATCTGAAACTGATTG